TGTGTTGGTATAAAACTGTTGAAGTCGTCATTCCCCGACCTTGCGAAACGCCATATTCTCTAATAAGCGGACGATGTGGGTATAATGCTGAGAAAGGCAATTGGACAGGTGTGAATCTTAAGGTGTAATCCTTGTTCAATCCCGCGTAATGGTAAAGTCTTTGGACACCTGGATGGCATCAAACGGCATGGGATCTGCCGTGAGTTTCCTCTCTGAACTCGCATCGTCGCCGGTGACGGTGGCATTTACAGTATCCTTGTCATGCTTCAAGTCATTAGCCTCTGTACTACTCTCGTCTTGCATGCGGAAATATGCAAATGCGGTCCAACTTACCAACTCCATCCACTGTGTATAGTGGCCCGGTCGCTGTTGTTGCGACCCACCCAACCCTCCAGTGGTTGATCTCTTGGGCCCACTCTTGAGACCGCTACTGCTCATCGAGGAGCTCTTGTAATGCGAGCGCCATCGCAGATAGAAGGGTCGTAGCATGGGAATGTTGATACACAGACTAGCCAGCATCAACTCGACAGTGCACAACATGAACGTAGTACCCGAAGTTCCCGTGAGGTTGCCAATGAGATCTGAAATCTATCAGTATACCATGTTGCAGGGGAAAAACAAATCTGGAACTTACCGATTGTGTAAATGAGCACAAAGCGAGCAACACCAATGAATACGCAAGCCAAGCCAAGCCCGAAACAAGCCAACACAGCGAACTTCTCAGTCTTTCGCATTTGCAGCTGCCAAACAGCTCGGATTGGTAGCGCTACAATCATGAGATCTGTTATCATGTTTGTTATGATCAGAAACTTGAGCAAAAGCATCTGGTCCAGGCAGTGTCCGACTCGTTCTATAGTCCATTGCTGGGAAATGGGGTCGCAGAGAAACAAGAAGACGAAGTTAAAGATGATGGCCCAGGCTACTACGATACCGCCAACAATGTATACCGCAATGCGAAGTTGGAGCGAGAACACGCGGTGGTAGAGCGCAAGTTGAGAAAGCTTGAGAGCGGCCAAGCACCAAATGTATATCAATGTATAGGCGAAGGTAAGCTGCATGATATGTGGAAGGTTGTTCATGACTGTATTTTGCGATTAGCTAATGTGTTGAAATATTCGTGTCGCATTCAACTCACGCTTGGGAAACATTTCCGAGTTGTTTGGGTCGAAATCATAGCCCACACCACTGGTAAAGACTAGATAGTGTGTCAGTCATACCGTCGATGCCTATTGAACAAGACTTCCTCACCTTCAGCATTGAGACCGATTGTGCTTGTGGTTAAAACCTTGAATCAAGTCAGCCGGAGCTCTAATGGCCATTGCAGACTTGCGGCATACCATCGCGATACTCGCAAAGATGTCATCCAGTGACAATCCGGGTCCTTTTACGCGCCCATAGATGCGAAAAACAACTGTTGATGCAGCGAGCAACCACAAACACGACATTGCTATCATCGAGTCACGGCCGCTCCTCGCCATCGGTATCTCGATCACCTCTTTCATCTTGTCCGGTGGCCGTGACGCACAGATCTGATAGAGTCGCGTCACAAGTAAGCAGCAATATTAAACAAGACGCCGAATAGATGGAGTGGAGTCCGTGATAGTGGACTGAACGGACAAAAGAGCGGCGAACAAAAGGAACAACATAATGGGGGCACTGGGATAGTGTTAAAAACTTGATCCATGCTGTCCTCTCCTGTCGTCGCTTGAAGGATTCGGAACATGACAACACGGACCGGCAACGCGAAGGAAGCAACGGGCCGATAGCGTTCCCTTACCTGTCAAGGCAAATAGTGGGTATGTTGCGTAAAATCGTTGCCACCATGGTCGACAGGAGAACCGGATGATTGCCATTCAGCTGCTTTCGGGTCATCCGCAACCGAACAAGCTTAATCGCGTGCAGCGAATGCATTGGCGATCTCAGCGCAAGCGAAGTAGAGCCGTCTATCTTGGTTCGTTCCACCATGCCAGAATACGGGGTCAAGTCCATGTGAGTGACTCGAAGTAGACAAGACGAGGCTGCTCGTAACGCTGAAACCTTCTAGGCCAGGCACGAATCCACAGTGCCAAGCTTGCATACCGCGCGCCTTAATCATATCCCGCGCAACCCGCAGCGCCTGCACTTAGGGGAATAAAACCAACCCGGCTCCACTCGACTAAGGAACGGCAGTCATCTCCCGCCTTGTTTTGGACGCAGGGGGCCCAAAGGAGTAGTCAACCCGCCAATCTCAAAATACCTACTTTGCATCTTCTCTTCTCTCTCTCGCCTAGTTCATGGTCTGCAAGATTTGTCGGGGTGTAGTCGGCGAGATGATTTCTCGGCTGCATCTCAGAATATGTGGGACTCGGGGGAGGGGGACTCGATGGAGCTGTCAAGTGCAAGCAAATCCCCAAGGTCATTGACTCGAGCCTCGTATTTGGGTAGCTTTGCCGCAGCGGAAGTGGGTGCAGCTCCGCCCGCATAGTCCAACGCTCTCCCATGTGGCACGGCAATGGACTTGAAGCACCAATGATGGGAATGCTAATTGTGGAATTAAAGTGGAGCATACTAAAATGCAAAATATTCGAGGAATGCACGCTACTCCTCTTATCGCCAAGGGTTGATTGGTAAAAAAGAGCCACTGACCCCGAGGAGGAGGGATCGGCCCTGATGTGGTATAGGTAAGCGTTAGACGGGAGCATTCATAATATAGGAGTCGACCTCGCCAGTACGTCGTCCTGCATCTGCTCCCGTTACTGTGCAGGCTGGGTGTCGTCAAGTCACCCAAAACATCACCATGGACCAGCAATCCGGCGCGGCCCAAGGCCAGACGTCAATCTTCTCTTTTGCGAGCGTAATTTGGCTGGTTGTGGCTTGGATCGGCTATCGAATCGCAATCGCGCTTTACAACATCTCGCCTTTTCACCCCCTATCTCGATTTCCAGGCCCAAAAATTGCTGCTGCATCTTACCTCTACGAAGCTTACTACGACTGGTGGCTTGTCGGGCGCTATGGTAAAGTCATCTCGCGTATGCACGAGAAGTACGGCCCAATTGTGCGCATCAACCCAGACGAACTACACTGCTCCGACCCCGCCTTCACAGACGAGATCTACGCTGGACCGGGACATGTTCGAGATAAATGGCAGCACCAACTGAACACTGGTGGAGCTGGCCCTGTCTCGGTGACTGGATTCTCCACGGTCAACCACGATCTGCATCGTGCACGAAGGGCGCCGCTGAACAAGTTCTTTTCACGTCAGCAGATGCTGAAGTTAGAAGGCGAGGTGCACGAATTTGCATCCATGGTCGCAAAGAAGATGCTCAAGTCAGCCGGCAAGGGTGCATTCGATGTCAAGGAAGCGTTCAACTGCTACACAGCCGATGTCATCTCTCAGTATGCTTTCGGTGAGCCCATGGGGTTTGTGGCGCAAGAAGGTTGGGAGCCCAACTTCGCCACATGGGTCAAGTCGTTCTTCAAGAGTGCCTACATGATGCGCCACAATGCCTTGGGCCGCAAGATGGCCCAAGTACTTCCCTTCATGGCTGACTATCTGGGCGAAGATATCAAGGCAGTCATGAAAGTCATGAATGTGACAATTCCCCAGTACATCGCGCAGGCACTGAAAAATCCCGATAACGGACGTGTTTTTGCCGAAGTCATGGGTAAAGATAAATCCATGTCGGAAGAAGAGAAATACAGGTACAACGGCGAGGGCTTTAATTTCCTGCTTGCAGGTACTGAAACAACTGCTGTAAGTAAAATTAGGTTTAAGGAGCCGATCAGGAACGTAGCAGTACTAACCTTGTTTTAGGCCATTCTCACCGTCTTTACCTACTGGGCTCTCGCCAAGCCAGAGATTAACCAAAGGCTGGCATCTGAACTTGCACAAGCTGGTATTAGCACACAAAACCTGAAATGGATTGAGCTCGAAAAGGTTCCTTATTTCTGGGCCGTGTTGCAGGAGTGTCTGCGCATGATGCCTGGTGTATCGCATCGGTCGGCCAGAATTGCGCGTGAAGAGGACTTGCACTACATTTCGGCAGACGGCAAGACGGACTTTGTGATTCCCAGGGGCACTCCGATTGGCATGACATCCATGATCAACCACTGGAACACTGAGCTTTTCCCCGAACCAGACGAATTCCTTCCTGATCGCTGGCTACTGGAGGATGGTACGCAGAACTATGCGTTGCAGAAGAAACTGATTGCGTTTGGAAAAGGCAGTCGCGCCTGCATTGGCGAACAGCTGGCATACTGTGAGCTTTACATCATGTGCGCGTACATGGTGCTCGATGTTCATCCCAGGGCCAAACTGGTTGATACAGTCAAGGACGACATTTCGTATGACCACGACTTGATTGTTGCACAGACGGCCAAAGGGTCAATTTCCGTTCGCATCGCTGTAGAGTAGGGAAAACACTTGGGTTGTGCCAGCGCGGAGGAGCCTGGTGCCATTGTACTGGATATGTTGATGGATTGAATACGCAATATCTGATTCTTGTATGGATGGCGACTTGAAGACGTGATTGTAGAAGAGTGGATGTTGTGCTGGAATCAGAGAGCAGTGTGCGTAGTGGGGTGAGTGAAGGAGGCAGGAGCGACTAATCTGGTGGTTGCCGCTTTTCCTGTAGGCTTCTTGGCAAGGGAAACACGGCAGTGTTGGATGCGAAAATAGGGAGTGATCCTTGACGCCACAAAAGTATAAAATGCAGTGTTCTGCAAGTTGTTTGCAGTGATCGGCTAGCGAGCATTATGAACATGGTCCTGATTTGTATAACATCGTACCACCAATGGAGTGCATGCCTATCTGCCAAGGTTACTGTCCTTTTTGATGCAACCACTGCCAGAGGTTCAGGCGTGTTAGGGAAGTGTGATTCGTATACAGTAATTCCGTATGCAGTGGCCATGTCCTTAATATGTGGGTGGAGTCATGTCGCACATGCAGCGACCACGTGACCCATCGATTGGGATATCCGGTCACGTGAGCTACACGAGATCAAACGTGGTACTAAACCAACATGCCCGACTACCCGCCAAGCTTTGTGTTCTTGACATGCAAATGTAGCAAAGCTTTTCCTTGGCTTGCTGTGTACGATAGGCTTCATCGTAACAAGATTCAAGATGCAGAGTCGGAACGTGGTGTTGGCCTCGTTGAGCAATTGGTGTCTCTGCTGTGGTTGCAACAACCTGCCACATGGCGCGCGGAGAAGCCGTTGACAGCGTCTGAAGCAGTCGCGGTCCAGATGCAGATCCTCATGGCAATGGGAAACATGTTCCGAGACGCGGCATGCGCGTTTGGCGTCTCCGGCATCCAGCTTCGATCGGCAAATGGTCTAGAGGGGTGATTGTGCGATACTGTCTGGGGTATGTCCAGCCGTCTTTTGACATTGGCCGTCCCCATGACGTGGATTTGAGGCATTTAAGTACTGTAGACACATGCGCATACTGTACATGGCAAGGAGCCATCGTCGACATTGATAAAAAAGGCGTCGGCTGCACAGCCCCCTCTTGGCATCTCGATTCCAGACGGTTCTTGCCGCTAACCTGGCCATAGGTCGGCCTTCAAATGTCTGGCCACGGACTCACTCTGCACCTGCGAAATCTCATCTTCTAGCGTCAGAGGACCTGGCCCGGCCCCAATGGTTCAAGATGTCTTCTCGCTTCACAGCATCGTCGCCGACGATGAGCTGAGATTTCCCTTTTCTCTCAAGGACTACCAGCGCTACATCTTTGGCGACGACCGATTGGCCCATCGCCTCGGCACGGACCTTGCCAAGGCCTATATTCCCACTCTCCCCAGTCCCATTGACGACTTCGCCGTTGCCGTCTTATCCGAGCAAGTTCCCACGGCCACTCACAGTCTGCGCAACCATTTTGTTGCTTACCTCAATCGCCATCTGGTAGCGAATAATGCTACTCCCGCTCTCAAGCTCGACTTCCACCATGCCCGCGTTTCGGCGGAACTAGCTCGGGTCGGTCCGCCCGCCCGCACCATCTACCATATCGACACCAAACGTCTCCAAAACCGCACCTTGATTGTCCTTGCCGACATTCGAACGAGTCAAGATCGAGAAGATGAAATAAGGTGCTCTTTTGCTGTCCAAGGTATCACCACCGTGTTTGCCTATCTCGCAGCCCTCGGTGATTCCGCAACCACGGTCGCCCTTTCCAACCTCCTCTCGTCTGTCATTAGCCCCTCTATGAAAGACATCGAGGCCATTACCCAAGGACCTCACTTTGTCATGAATGAATGCTTTGTCAAATTCATACTAGAGAGGGATAACGTCGACCTTTGCCAGTTCATCAGACGACAAGATGACCATTTCGTAAGGTTGTTGCTCGACCATGCTATTTATAGCAATTTCTATGACAACAAGGAGTACATGGATAATATCAGATTTCTCCTCTGGGAGGTCCAGGCACGCGAAAGTGTATAAACAAAGCCCTATAATCAAATAGTCGCTATACGAACCAAATTAAACTCCCTGACCAACTGTGGACCCCAGCTGTTCTCGCCTTGATCGAGACTATGACTAGGAAGATTATAGCCTAACCCCATGTATCACACCCCATGTCCTCTCGACGAGTTACCAAAATAGTGACACCTATTTCGTGCCCAAAACCTCGCCTCCTCCGTGTTTCTTTTCTTGGTTTCAATGAGGTTGCATCAAGTGCTATTCAAGTGACGTAGATACAGAAGAATTTCCAGGACTCTGCAGTAGTCAAATGCGAGGACAAACCATAAAGAAAGCTTCTGCAACACCAAAATCTTGAAAAAGCAGCTCCCCCCAATCCACCGTATCCGCCAGCAGTGCCACAAGTATAATCGACGTCTATGCTGGAGGCACCAACTATACCGACGTCGACCCGGCCGCCGCTATCGAATCCAACTAGTCGCTAGATATAGGCTCTTCCTTTACTTTTACTTTAGAAGCTACTCGAGAGAGTTAGTCTAGCGAAGGAAATCATGTTTCGAGCAACATACCTTTCAATACAGCAGGATCCATGGCCTTTAGGCGCGCAAGGCCCGCTTTATAAACTCGCGGGCCGTTCCTGGTTCCACAAACGGCGCAGGTGGAGCGAGAAAGGCGCTGGCAACGAAGGCGACGAGCTAGTAGTAGAGCCACATATTTGCGTTTAAAGTTGTTGATTGGTTTGGTTCCTATGGTTGCTAAAGCGAAGTTGACGATATGGGATTTGGAAAGGCACTTTCTGATTCCGCAAAGTCCATAACATGTCATTTATACATTTTTTTTTTCGACTAGCAAACCCCGCCAACCCCCCTCCCTTTCCTCCTTCGAATCAAATGTTTGCGTTGATCGTATCTTTATTAACGCCGATTTTTGGGCTCCGTTTAGATGGACCCTGGACGTTTTTTACGTTACGAAAATTGCGGGATTACTATTCTTTATACCCCCTTGCCCTCCCTGGATGATGAGTACCCTCTTCAACACTACTGACTTATTACTCTGACAGGCCAGGGGGGGTTATCCTTTTACAGCGTTTGACTAAGATCGTATTTCCAGCTCGTTGCAACCACGTGTTTACTTAGCACACCATGATTTGTTGGGGATGCATGGGTTCTAAGCATTGTTTCCAAGGAGCATCCCTCTCCGCAACGGCTACTCTTGCTGCTCGCGTGAGTTGCTTACTCCATCGACCAATCAGAGTAGTAACCCATGACAACGAAGAGTTTGTTGTAGCGCTAGCACACATCCAGTAAGTATCGTGGGCTGTCAGCAGGCCTAAGATAGTAACCATGCGCTAAGAATACATAAAGGTACACCAACGCGATACCAATTTCGGGTGGCAGTGTAGGTCTCGAACGATGATGGTCTTCCGGATCGTCCAAATAAGGTTCGAGACAACCTTGAAGGCATACAATCTAGAATCTGGAGACCCTGACGGTGTCGGTGCTTCGAATGCTCGGCAGGCATGGCAGGGTTACCCTAGGGCATCATTACGCTGACTATAAGAGAAGGCATTCTCATCCTTTATCCTGAAAGTATCCTGCATATCGATGCAGCTGCTTCTACTAGCGTGCATCTTGTCTAGAAAGGCTATAGCCTAACTATGCGCTTGGAGAAATCCCATAGGTTCTATGCTAAGTCGAGTGCTATCTTAGATGCTACCAGCGCACTGTTCTTCTAGATCGACATCTTAACCATGTTGACAATCCAAGTCCCTGCACATGAGCTAGCGGTGAGATGTCGACACAGACAAGCTTGATGAGTGAGGACTATACCATATGTAGTATGATGTAAGCTAGACCTGGTAAGGATGGCCCAACGTCCGTTGGCCAACATTAGATGAGAGAGGAAAGGCTATCCGAAGTAGAGCCAGATTAGTTTAGCTTTTCCACGTACAAAAGTCTTACCTGTAGCTGTAGTAAGGCAGGGGTAAAACACTTCTTCCGACCACACGTAGCAAAATAAGCGAGAGATTAGTGAACATTCATGGAAGTCAGTCGTGCTGGTATTCTGTAAACCCCAGGGGTAGCTAAACATTTCGGACAATGGTAAGATCTTGAGTAGTCTGAAAGTTTGCGTCTGACATCTTTCTTGGCCTCACTGGCGTGATCCCTGGTTTTCCGATGAAGCCGAGGGAAGGGGAGAACTTCCATCTCGTGTTACTATCAATCGGATTTGTCTGATGAGTGGACGGTATTGTTGAATTGCGCAGTCACCACCTGAATATGGTGATTTCCATGGATGAAAATTCAAGAGTAGTGCATTAGATATGTTCGAAGCGGTGAAGTATCTCAACTCAGTAGGTTCACAGTTAGCCATTCAGATGGGGGCAGGGGATAATAATGGCCACGTGGATGCCGAGCCACCGGATCAGGACGGATTCCAAATGGTTACTAGCGCGGACCCCAATAAAGAAGCCACATCCGGAGACCCTGAGTATCCGCATCCATACTCGTGTTCATGTCATTCTTTTCTCATCTCACCATTGTCTCTGTTACATTGAACATTGGTGATACGTACTCAAAACAGGCTAGCCCCTATCACTCCGTCACCCTGTTAGGCAACAGCTGGTAAAATAGCCTACTCCAGACCTTCGTGAATACAGGACTAAGAATCAAACCTTGCCTCTCTCTGTCCTGATGCTGTTCCGGCCTCTCCCTTCGCATGTGCATCCGCCTTGTCATGCTCAACAAGCTTCAACGGTCTGTACTCCGCTTCCCACATCTGCTCTCTGATCCATTCTTCCAACTCTGCATCATCACTTGGTATATTCTTTTCTTGCGCCAGGTCATCTTCCACTGCCTTCTTGATCACATTCTTGGCAATCTGTACGCTGATCTCTCGGACATCTTTAACGTCGGGGAGGAGACCGGCCCCGTCATTGTTAACTACTGGAGCTGCGGAAGCTAGAGCTTGGACAGCGGCGACAAGAAGTGCGGGGGTCATCAGGCGAGTACGGGACAGAACTGCGCCAAGTCCAATACCTGGAAATGTTACGGAGTTGTTGCATTCGGCTAACCGAGTCAGCATTATGTCTTTAGACAAATGCAATAGCAGCGACTTACATATCTCATATTCTTTTCTGTTGTACTTAACTGGGTCGAAAGGTGAACCAGTCGCCACTAATACTTTTCCATCTGTCCAATCATACAGATCCTGGGGTTTGGCTTCATGGAGTTTGGTAGGGTTAGACAGTGGGAAAATGACAGGGCGCTCGACGTGTTTGGCCATCTCACGGACGACATCTTCTGTGAAAGCGCCTGGCTTGGTCGATGTACCTATGAGAACATGCGGCTTCACTTCTTTGATAACAGAGAATAGATCCCCATGATCTTTTCCTTCCCACTCCTTGTCTGTGCGCGCAAAGGGCATTTGGGCAGGGGTAAGCTGGTCTTTCTTCCCCTGCAGAAGAAGGCCTGGCTTGTCGACACACCTGAAGAAAATCAGCTTGGCTTTGACTAATCATACTAAGTATAGACATACCAAATTTGACGACTCGCTTCGTTGTCTGATTTTCCGGTATTCTGGACAATGGCATCCCGAATCTGGTCCGCAATTCCGGTTCCTGCTGAGCCTGCTCCAAACATGACAAAGCGAGCCTCGTCCCACTTAGTACCGCTGACTTTGAAAGCTGCCATGATAGCTGCAAGCGTGACACAACCAGTTCCTTGAACATCATCATTGAAGCATGCGATTTCAGGAGTATACTTGTCGAGAATCCTTCGTGCATTGTCCAAACCAAAGTCCTCAAAATGAATGTAGGCTTTGGGGTACTGCTTTCGTGCGGCCTTCACAAACATGTCGACGAACTGGTCGTATTTTTCGCCAGACACTCGTGGTTTTCTCAGGCCAAGATATAGCTCGTCATTCAAGAGATCCTCATTCTGTACTCAAATCAGCCCTAGATCTGGTAAAAGGATTTACATACACCCACATCTGTACCACAGTCAAGGACCACCGGAAGTGTTCGTGAGGGATGTATGCCTGCGCATAGTGTGTAGATGACGAGTTTCGCCACACTGATCAGGATGGCTCCTACACCTTGATCTCCAATACCCAGTATCTGCTGTCCATCGCTTACGACTATCAGGTCAATATCCTCAGGGCCGCCCCATTGCTTGATGTCGTCCTCAACGCGACCCATGTCGTCTATATTGAGAAAGCAACCTTCGGGTCTTCGGAAGATTTTGGAGTAATCAGCAATTGCCTCACCCTCGGTGGGGGTATAGATGACGGAGAACATCTCCTTAAGGTGATCAAGAATCAGCTGCTAGTCGTTAGCCATAACATCCAAAGAACTACAAGGTATCTCATACTCTGTAGTATAGGACCTCGTTTTGCTCCTTCATACTCGTCATGAAGGTGTTCTTGGCGAGGTCGTTCGGACGAGACCTGTATTGCGCATATGCACGCTTGACCTGCTCATCGAGAGTTTGAATGTTAGAGGGAAGAAGGCCATGGAGCTTGAATATATCGCGTTCTTCTTTTGTGAACGCCGAGCCTTTGTTGAAGTATGGCGTTCGAAGGAGCGCATTTCCCTACTTGGTATGTCAGTATCGGGACTCTTCAATGAAATCTCATGACGCATACGCACCGTCAAGCTAGTCTCTTGTGGCCCGGAAGTCGATAGAGGGAGATGCCCGAACTTTTCGTTCTTTTGTTGTTTTGCATTAGGCGACATGTTCATGAGCTTCTGCGAAGAAATGCAGAACAATCTTAAGGTATGGGGTCCTGATTGGGTGGTTACCGGAGCGATTTGGACGGGTAACAGAGTCTTCAGTTGTCTGAACATTAAAAGAAAGAGGTTCTTAAGGATATCATAGGTTAAATAATAGATTATTGAAGACGGTGTTGTCTGTTCCGATGTTATCCGGTATCTTATATAGCTCGTCGTACGATAGGTCACTGATTCGTGTTGTTTCCCTGTTAAAAGTTCATGAACGCTGGATTCGAAGAAGCCGCATACCCTGGCTTGTGCTATCGGGCAGTTGCGGGTATGTGATCCTGCTCATCAACGTGGCAGAGCGTTTCTTAATCCATACGATACTCTCCTATGACTGATCCTATAACTAAAGACGTTTCGTACGCTATTCGCTTTACCTATTGGTGTTCTTCGACGGCTTGTCGCTTACAGGAATCAATGTCATAGGCGGCGTAATTATGACGTCACTGCTACACCCTATGCATCTGCTGGGCGCCACAAGCGTGTTGGGCCATGGAAGCATTTTGCTGTCAAAATAGAGTCAGCAGCTTGACCAACGCATTTCTAACGATTAGGAGCATACGGAAGAATGCAGTTGACAGGGTCGAGGTTACAGTGTGCTCGCGGGTGACGGGACGGGACGGAACGAGCTACCCCGCTCACCAAAGGTCACCTTGCCTCTACAAAGATCTTCAATCTTCGACATGAATTTTGAAGCCGTCTCGGTACGTTTCAATCGACTGAAAATCTGTGACAATCATGATACATTTGCATGTGTTTTTGAACCAAATGAACAAACAAGCAAAGCCACCGACAATGGGCTCATTGTAGCAATTCAATAGTATCTACCAAACCGCTGTTTGGCTGAAGTTTGACCCTTTTCCCTTTCGTTTTGTATGCTTGGTTGTTTCCCAACTCCCATTCGTTCAAAAGACTGTGTTTTTGTTTGCGCCTAATCGTCGACATAATTGTTCTTACGTACATTCACCTGTCGTGAAATTACAGTATGTTATACAATTCTGGCTGTTCAGTGGCCCTCTATGGGGTTTCTTCAAAATAACCATGACAGCCTTGACTCTTACAAGCCTCCCCATCGTTCATCTTGGAAACCACATTCAAAAGTGGCTCAAGTACAACGCTCGTTGTCGGATGATGCCAACCGGCTCCATAAAGTCAGTATGAGCCGTGTTAACTGCCTGTCGAACTAGGAGATATTGCTTTGGAAAGGTAAAGGCGTAAACAGCACCCTGGTCACCTGGATCATATGATGAGCGACATCCAAAGGACCGAAAATGATACCCATGACCATCGTGGCGAGACATATCGTTTCTAGAACCTTTGTCGACCAAGGGCGGTACACAACATGAACCAATGTCTCAGCCACATTTATTGAAACCCCAATCCTAAGTATCTGCCTGATCCTGCCCACTAGTCAGTATCTCTCGTATAATTTGGCCCCTCGTAATCTCGGGCTTGGCGCTGACATTGCGGCCCCAAGGCAAACCCGAGGAGCGCCGTGGAGGAGGAACTTCAGACCCCAAATCAGTTGTGCAGTCCAATAAACATTCTTACTGACTGTTTCTGGAGTTTGGCTTTTACGATAAGCCCCGAGCCGTTTACAGCACTACAAATTGCTCTAGGCCATACCACTTCATAAGAATGTGGCACAGCTGAGCATCTGTATCTTGCCTCGCTAAAACGACATTAGGCAACTAAATAAGCCTGAATTACCGTAATAGGCAAGAAGCGAGGTATCTCTCTTGACTCGGTTATTTGTACCGATATCATAGAGGTGGCACAGTCATGATAGTTCAGCACAGCCTACTGTAGGCGGCCAACTACGCATTAATTGGGGAGACAAACAGCTTTCCATACTTGATCTCTTTGGTTTACATCAATTTTGTGATTCAAGTCAAAGGCTGCGTGTTTTGATCGATTTCAAGTCGTGACAGGAACGGTTTTTCTTGAATATCCGATTTTCTCGATCCCAACTTATAGTGTACGAGATCCGGAATAGCCCACCAGATGCAAACGGGCGATGGATTACGGCGTGCAGTCAAAGGATCTCCAAGAGGATTTATCCAGCCAGTGTGAAGAACCAGTTCATGGCACACATAGTGCCCCATGTACTAGGTGCTGACCGTAGGATCATCCTATGTTCAAATCAATACTTGGCAAGAAGATGTAGGTGCGCGGCGAGAATGTAACTATCGTAGCCTACTCTGAAGCTTTTCGTCTATATAACTGTGAGCTCGTTCCAGCTTTGGGTTATCCAGTAAGTCACTACTTCGGCTTCAGTCAACACCTCTGGTCTCCAAATATTCATCTGGTTTCGCAAATACTCTCGCAGATACACTCATATTTCGATACTTGATCACGATATCTCTTCTTAAGACACCAACCAAAATGAAGTTCATCTTCCTTCTCAGCACGGCAATCTACACTGCCACAGTGCTAGCTGCCCCGGGCGCCGTATGTCCTTCCTTACTGTTCACCCGTAACATCCTGCTCTTCCCAGCATCACAACTAAGTCCATCTCTCAGATCTCGCTCAACCGCTCCTTCAAGACCCTTGCTGGCCGTGCTGACGGTGACGATTCCATGCACATTGCTTGCATCGAGTGTCCTTGCGATGTGAGTCTTTTCTGCTACCCCTCGTCCCTATCGAAGGAACTACATTCGTCATATGATTAACCAGTGATTTGGCAATGGCTAACTTCTGCCGTAGGGGTTCACTGGAGCTTGCCGGTGCGTCAACAATGGATGCTGCTGTGATATGACAAACCCTGGCCAGCCACCTGCTGGAGGCTGGTGAAAGACAGTCTAAAGTCTGTTTTTGGGAGTGATTTCATTACGAGAGCATAGTATGAGGGATTATATAGGAGTTTCAATCACTAGTCTTGCATCAAGAATACTTATCTGTTATTATCATCGCTGTGCGACGAGTGATCGTAAGGCATGAAGACCTTTGTCCAGATTCCAGGGAGTGCCTAGATCACAAACAACGATTCGACATGGAGGGGTAAGACTATGGCTTACAGAACGGGACCATGGTTCCATAGGCAGCCGTTGGACAAGGTCACGGTTGGATAGGGAGCATGTTGGAGTAAGCACGCCAAGCCACTTGTTTCGTACCTGAACAATAACATGGGCTTGCAAGGCGAACAATTGGAAAGAATATAAGGTTGTGACGTTGAGGGAGCTCCTCGGAGTGGTTCAATAGTTCTGGCGGATGTGGTCTATCCGAGCTGACCCTAGTTTGGTTTTGGATGAATACACTAACAATTTGAATAGTATTTCACGCATCACAAGTACACTCACTTACTTCGCTATAATTTCTGATTTACCCCTCGGGTTGATCGCTATGAAGGGTCCGCTAGCGCTATGTGTGCCGATTGGCCTAGAATGGCCATCGTCATCTTGCCTGGTAGGTGTGGTAATCCAACTATCTAGAGTAGGTTATGATCTGTTCATGGTAAAACACTAAACAGGAAATAGTGCGTAGAGCTAGCACCATATCCATCGCGCTATACACGCAAATGGATCGCGACTAGGTTCCACTCCCGATCATTACCGGCCCACCCGCCGATTCAGGGGAACAACGATGGAAATAACTTCCCACTTGTTCTGCAGCACACGACTCATGTAATTGAATTGGATTAAAAGCGAGGGTATCCCATGCCTGTGTTCAGGCAGCAGGGACCTTGTGTTGCTTTGTCGTTGGTTGATCAACTCTTACTGAAGATCATACAACTCTCGATATGCGTTTTTTCGTGTCGTCGCTAGCTCTCCTGAGCGTCGTTCCTCAGTCACTCGCTATACCTGCTGCAATAGCGCAGCCATCAATTGAAGACGCCACGAAAACCATTGAGGAACGTCAACTTCTCACCAACCTTTTACCTGGTCTCCTTCCTGGCGTGGTTTCGCTCGTCAAGGGTCTTCTGACCGATGTTAACGTCGCCGTAGCTGAGGGCAAGCCTCAGGAAGTTCTCAACATTCTCCAGAAGCTACAACCCACAACACGACCAACGAAGATCCAAGACGCTGTCGCGGCACATGCCAAGATATGGGCGACTCCAACCACAAGAACTGACTTTTTTGCTGCTGTTGCGACACAGATAGCTGGCGGTCTAGTCCTTGACCAGACACTTCAAGCGGCCTTGAACGGCGGTTTGCCAGTAGGAGAAAACATCGTCACGAACAACAACCCAGCTCCAGCATCTTCCATCTACCCTCAGAAGGATGCCACCGATGCGCCATATACCCTTTCTGAATCCGCTCTCCGGCAAGCGATATTCATTCCACCGAGCTTCACATACGGCGCCAAACGTCCCGTCATTTTTGTCCCAGGTACCGCTTCTTACGGCGGTACCAACTTTGCATCAAACCTACGGAAGCTCCTCACAGGCAAAGATTTCGCTGATCCAGTATGGCTTAACGTACCCGGCGCCATGCTCCGCGATACGCAAACAAACGCAGAGTACATTGCCTATGCCATCAACTACATCAGCGCCATCTCGCGTCAAAACCAGCAAAACATTGCCGTCATCACTTGGTCCCAAGGTGGTCTCGACACCCAATGGGTACTAAAGCACTGGCCCTCGACACGACAAGTCGTCAAAGACTTCCTTCCCGTCTCCGCAGACTTCAAAGGCACAATCTTTGGAAACGCCCTCTGCCTGTCACCAAACAACGATGAGTCCCTCGTACCATGCAGCGCTGCCCTTATGCAACAACGAGCTACAAGCGAATATGTCCGAAGCCTAAGGTCCAACGGTGGCGACAGCGCATACGTACCTACAACATCCTTCTACTCTGGCTTCTTCGACGAGGTCGTCGAGCCGCAACAAGGCACTTCGGCTTCCGCATACATGAACGACGCACGCAACGTCGGTGTCACGAACATTGAGGTCCAGCGCGTGTGTACAGGCCAGCCCGCTGGTTCTTTCTACGGTCATTCCAGTGTTCTTTCTAACCCGCTTACCTACGCACTTATCGTCGATGCGCTGCAGCAAGATGGACCGGGCGACCTATCGCGCATTGATTTGAAGCGTGTGTGCAGTACCTTCGCTGCACCAGGACTTGATCTCGATGATGTGTTGGCGACGATTGGCTTGATACCAGTGGCGGGTGCGTTATTGCTGTTGGAACCCAGTACTAAGACGCTTGTTGAGCCTCCGCTGAGAGCTTATGCGATGTAGTGGCGTTGCGAAGACTAAGTCTCGACACGTTGAGGGGTTATTTGTTTTTCTGGTAATGTGTTTTATGATAATAGTAGTTGTTTTTAGTTCTCTTCTTCTTCTTGTATCCTCTTTGGGGTTATCACATTGATAATGTAAATATCAGTTGACGCTATTAGTGGAGCAGGACTTAATGTCCGTTTTTTCTCTTCAATTTGATGTATTCTGCTCTCAGGAGCCGATTTGAGCTGCGAATAAGAATATATAATGTTGATATCTGCTACGGCTGTATTTATGATTGGTAATGTCAGCAGCCACACGCTCCACAAAAATTGTAGAACCCCGATTATCTCATAGTACACATCTTCAATATCATCAAGCTCACAGGTGTTTGTGAAGTAATCACTAGAGCACATCGTTTACCTCATCAATGATTTGAACTTTGATACTTCCGTTGCTTAGGTCGGCACATGTATGCAGGGCATCTAGTGCCTTTTCCAGTGGAAATGTGTGACTGACAAGTGGCTTGAGGTCCAGTATGCCACCCGCCAAGCACTGAAGACCAGCTGGCCAGGTGTCGCGGTAACGGTTGATGAATTTCAGATCAATCTGTATGTGATGTTAGCGAAACGTATCTTCTAAGGGGGATATGGTTTGAGCGTATACCTCAGCTAGACTCAAATGCATGAATGGCAGATTATTCATGATTTCCTTCCCAACACCAATGACCATAACAGTCCCACCTCTTCGTGCCGTATAGGCTGCAGTGACAACACTATTCTCCACGCCCGTGCATTCAAGCACGGTCTCCGGCGCTCCGTACTCGCCCACATTCCCAAAGTCAAACAGCTCCCTAATCCTCTTTGCGTTACCCAACGCATCAAGATTTTGGTCAACTTGATAGGTATAAGCCGAAGGCACAAAACTTTTCGCGAAAGCCAATCGTTTTGGCTCGAGATCTGTAATGACAAGCGGGTGCGCCCCACTTGCTCTCGCTGCTGCCAATGCGATGAGACCAATGGGCCCTGAACCGCATATCACAGCGCCACGGCCTAGGGAAAGACCTGCAGATTTGATACCGTGCATGACCACGGAGAGTGGCTCGAGGAGCGCACCTTCAGCATACGATATGTTGGAAGGCAGCTTATGGCACCACCGTGCAGGATGACATTTGAATCTCTGTATAGTGCCATTATAAGGGTAAACACCAGCGAATTGGACATCTTCGCATAGATTGTAGCGTCCATCCATACACAAGAAGCATGTTCCGCACGGGACGCCGGGCTCGACTGCTACACGGTCCCCTATAGATAGAGTTAGAGAAGAAGACTGCATTGGAAGAGGGGAAGATCAAGTACCGGGTTGCAAATTTGTAACGCCCTCACCGCACTGCAAAACCACTCCTGAAGCTTCATGACCGAGGATACAGTCTCCTTCGACGACGAGAGAACCTATTCTTCCTGCTCTCCAAAAATGGATATCGGACCTACCGAACTCAACGTCAAACTCAGTATATTCTTTGGTTACTGAGGTACGTACCCGCAAACGCCGGTGGCTTTGATATGCAACAAAACTTCTCCTTCTGCTGGCGCATACACAGGTGCTTCCTGAAGTTTTAATTTGTGGTCTGCAGTGACTTGCAGGGAAGGATTTGGCAGCGGTGTCTCGATCGTCGCACGCGTCGTGCTTGTTGGTTTGGACATGGAGGAAGTAGTTTTTGGGTTCATTATTGGATTGGTAGGGATGGAAATGCAAAACTACCTTAAACTGTCGAATGCAAGGGTAGATGTAGTCGACGTTGGGGTAATGGCTGATCGTGTCAAGGGCTCACGTCTTTAGCGGGTCATCCAGCTGTCGCTGCGGAAATAGCAACTCCATTCTCACAGCTCTCCGCATGATACAACAGGTGGCGCTGAATTGCGGGGAAATTGAGTGGAGAAGGCCGGTAGAGATCGCAGGTGGCTATGACTACTGTATTGGTGTAGGGTGCCTTCCGATCGCCAATGGGAATCCAGAGCCGCCGCCCTCTTCCGCACAGCGAATACGTCGGGTTGCCTAATTAGGAACACCCGGTGCTCTCGACTTTCGATGCACATACGTCGTAGAAGATTCGTTGTCAGTCGTATGCTGGAAAGGTATTTAGATACCTTCTTCCTTTGAGATTCTTCTTTTCTAATTTTATTCACTTTCTTTACTTGTGTTCTTCATCCAAAAGCTCAAATCCTTCTACACTCTAATATCATGTACGCATCGCAAGATGCACCCCAGGTGAACGGCTCCACGGCCTACGGAAAGAATGCCGTGGAAAGCTTAAAGGAAGAAGAAAAGTTAGAAAAGTCGTCGGTGGGGAAGCTTTCAAAAGAGCATGACCATGTCTTGAAGACATTCAGGTTGCTTATTGCAGACTTGTGTCAGCAATTCAATGGTGGACATCCAGGGTAAGCTTCATCATTCATCATCCAGAATGGTAACTAAGAAGTTTTCAGAGGGGCCATTGGAATGGCAGCAATTGGTGTTGCTTTGTGGAAATATGTCATGCGCTATGCACCTCACACCCCAGATTACTTCAATCGCGATCGATTCGTTTTATCAAATGGTATGCATCATAGAATCAACCTCGTATTCACAATCACGA